CTGCAGTCGCATACGCCAGACAAAGAGGCACCAGTACCTGCCTTTCAGGATTTGTGATGTCAAAAGCTAAAGTAGCACCCATGGACTCTACAGTGCCCAGATTAGAACTCTGTGCCGCTGTCTTAGCCACTCAGTTGAGCCAAACCATCAGAGAAGAAATAACTTAAACAAAAAGATGCCCCTAGACACCAATGGGCTAAGGGTATTGTGTCTAAGTTTTATCCTACCTCTGACAATAGAGTGCACAAGGCCCAAGTTAAGGTCATTTCAAATAAAAGGTTTCTTTGTTTGACAGGCCTATTAGCGATATGGTTATGTTATTTTCACAAGACCTACAGTCTTAGAGTTATAAAAGTTAAAGGTGTTTAACTTCATTTTTGTTTAGATTTTCGAAAGTCCGAAAATCTAGGCCGGGAGTGTGACGGCGCGAGTGGCGCCACCTATGTATAGAACTGTTAGTTGTAAGATTTAAACTGTTGTATCATGCTTAATCCTGCCCCTTTTGCCATGTTTCTGTATATTTGTATGGATTGGTTACTTGTAGCTGTCAATCAGCACTGTTTGGCTCCACCTCTTCCTGCAAGAGGGGAGAACTTCCTTTTCTTTCATTCTGCGATGAGAGTTCCTGCAAGATGGACGTGAGTAAAAGACTTCATTCTTGAAGGACCCTGTTAAGTTACCTCTTAGCACCAATTCTGAGGTTTTTACCCCTGGGACTCATGCTTTATGTCCAGATCATCCTGGACGGATACTGAGGAGACCCAGGCGCCTTCAAGCCAGTTCTTTTGGCACCAGAGGAAGATCCTAAATCTTCAAAATAGGCCATTTGAACTGGGGCTGTGGTTTTGCTCCGGCATACTCAGCCATTGAGGAAGAGGAAACCTGGTGAGGCTTCTCAGCTTCAAACCCCCTTGGACCCAGGACTAATAGAAACTGTAAAGTGTGTTTTTCCTTCACCCTGCTAAAGTTTTCCAGTTTACTGCATTGAAGAAATGACTTTGTGACAAATAAAACTTGTTTTGAGTTATTTACATCGTTTTGGGTTCTTTGGAGTTCCAGTTTCCTAAAGGAGGGCAAGAAGCAATCCCTTGGGGGAAAGATGCCACGTCCATCCTCCTTTTAAGACTAATAGCCCCCAAGCGCGACGGCATAATGCTAATGTAGATCTGTGTCACATAGTGGCAATAATCACCCTAGTACACAACTTTAATGAAAAGCAGTTCTCAGGCTTTGAGTATCTGAATTATTTTGGACATCAACTCCCAGAATCCCTCATATTGGACAAGCTGTCCTGGGCTTTTGTGAGTTCGAGTTCAAAGCTCCTACAGGAACAACTGACATCCTCCTGGTGTATCTCACAATTTATTTATTTATTGTCCTTCACAGGAATGTGCATTGTGTTATGCTGATATTGTAGTCAAATCAACATTGAGTCAGCATGGTGTATTAGTCTAAGTCAGGGGTGCCAAACTTATGGTTGCCTCATCCTTATGGATCCAAAGGGCTGTTGAATCCATGGACAGAGAGGACCAACTGTATTTCTTTTACATAGTACTGTACAGCCTTCCAGATATTACTGTATCCCAATTCCCATCAGCTCTAGCCATGATGTCTAATGATGTAGAATACAGGAATTGTAGTTCGGCATCTGGAGGGCCACATACAATGACATACAATGAATGGAGGGCCATGTTCAGCCTTCTAGCTTGAGTTTGACACATGTGGGCAAAGGCCCCTTCTACACTGCTATATAAAATCCAGATTATCTGCTTTGAATTACATTATAAATCAGTGTATATTTATATAATCCAGTTGGATTATCTTCTTTGATAATCTGGATTATATGGAAGTGCAGAAGGGGCCTAACTGTCCGACTAGTATTGAGAGAATAGTCTAATTGTTCACTTTTTCATGGAAACCTACTGGGGGACCTTGGGTGGGTCACACTCTCTCAGGCGCCTTTTACACTGCCATATCCAGGTTATCTGCTTTGAACTGGATAATATGGTACTGTAGACTCATATAAACCAATTCAAAGCAAATATTGTGGATTATTTGCTTTGATAATTTGGATTATGGAGCCCCCGGTGGTGCATTGGGTTAAACCGGTGAACTGCTGAACTTGTTGACTGAAAGGTTGGTGGTTCGAGTCAGGGGAGTGGGCGAGCTCCCACTGTTAGCCCCAGCTTCTGCCAACCTAGCAGTTCAAAAACATGCAAATGTGAGTAGATGAATAGGTACCGCTCAGGCGGGAAGGCGACAGTGCTCCATGCTGGCCAGCATGGAGTTCAGAATGCTCTTTGATTATAGGTGAACTATATATCCCAGTAACTACAACTCGCATATGTCACGGGCTATTTCCCCCCAAAAGCGCCTCAAGAGCGCCCCTGGGCAAAATCAACTAAACTGCAAATGCTTACTTTGCGTAATGGGTTGAGCCACCCCTGCCCGCATTGTAGAATTAATGCAGTTTGAAACCACTTTAACAGCCATAGCTCAATGCTCTATGGACAACGCTGGCTCTTCAGCTTAGAAATGGAGATGAGCACCAACCCCAAGAGTCGGACATGACTAGACTTAATGTCAAGAAAAGCTTTACCTTTTTAATTTGGATTATATGGCAGTGTAGAAGGGGATCAAGTTTCAGAGGAAAGCACAGTCAAATAAGCCTTGCCAAGAGAACCGCATAATAGAGAATTCACTCTGGGGTTGCTGAAAATTGGAAATGACTTGAAAGCCCAATATTACAAAAACATCCACTTTTCCTAGGCCAGCCCAGCCCAAAGACTGGAAATACATTAAGACAGCTTTCAAAGCTTATAAACTATTCCATATATTAAAGATGAAAAAACACTTAAAGAAAGAAGAGCAAGGGTTTCAGTGCCTGAAAGCTATATCCCAATTCCAACAGTTCACTGCTGAGGAAGGAAGAACAGCAATGCTCCCTCCTGCATGTTGGTATTTCTGTCCTTCACACTGGCCTCTTGGTCTTTACACAAACACAGCCCTCCCTCTCCCTGACTCACTCCCGTCCCTCTGTCTATTTTTTGCCTCTGGAGCTCCTATGCCCCCAAAGGCTGGCTGTTTACTCCAGTGAGACCCACCCACAGAGGCAACCCATCCACAAGTAGGTGGAGCACATGTGATGTGTATATAAATAGAGCAGAAGGGATAAACCCCCTTTCACTGCAAATAACTCTTGGGATTGTTCCTTTTGGAGTAATACAATTCCCCTCTCACTCTCTCAGCACAACAACTTCACTATGGGCAAGCTTCTAGTCCTCTCTGCTGTGATTCTTGCTTGCATCAGTGTCGGTAAGATAGATCATTCAGTTGCTATAACTTTTCTTTCTTCGGTTTTTAAAAATGAATTTTATTTCTTTTTGATCTTCTCTCTCTGGTTGGAAAACGGTGGCTTCTCTTTGCCACACCTTTGGCTTAGAACATTGCTTTTAACTCAATGCATTATTCTGATTTATGGATGGATTACTTTATTTCAAAATGTTTATGGGACGGCTAGTTGCGGAGTGGGGGGTTTACACGTTTAAGAACGAAATACATCTATAAAGTCACCCCTGTTATAATAGCAACAATAAAGAAATCTGCTCAGACAATCTCAACATTGGGTTGTTGTGAGTTTTCCGAGCTGTATGGCTATGTTCCAGAAGCATTATCTCCTGACGTTTCACCTGCATATATGGCAGGCATCCTCAGAGGTTGAGAGGTCTGTTGGAAACTAGGCAAGTGAGGTTTATATATCTGTGGAATGTCCAGGGTGGGAGAAAGAACTCTTGTCTGCTTGAGGCAAGTGTGAATTTGCATGTAATGGCCTTGCAACTTCAAAGCCTGGCTAGTTGCTGCCTGGGGGAATCCTTTGTTGGGAGGTGTTGGCCTGGGGTTTATATATCTGTAGGGGTCAGATGTGAATATTGCAATTGGCCAGCTTGATTAGCAATGAATGGCCTTGCAGCTTCAAAACCTGGCTTCTTATTGCCTGGGGGAATCCTTTGTTGGGAGGTGTTGACTGGCCCTGGGGTTTATATATCTGTAGGGGGCAGATGTGAATATTGCAGTTGGCCAGCTTGATTAACAATTAATGGTCTTGCAACTTCAAAGCCTGGCTTCTTACTGCCTGGAGGAATCCTTTGTTGGGAGGTGTTGACTGGCCCTGGGGTTTATATATCTGTAGGGGTCAGTTGTGAATATTGCAATTGGCCAGCTTGATTAGCAATGAATGGCCTTGCAGCTTCAAAACCTGGCTTCTTATTGCCTGGAGGAATCCTTTGTTGGGAGGTGTTGACTGGCCCTGGGGTTTATATATCTGTGGAATATCCAGGGTGAGATAATCTCAGCATTCTAGAAATACATCATAAATTATAAAATAATCAAGGGACATGTTTTCCATAAAAGAAGCAATTAATATATCTCTCTCTGCTCGCTTTTGAAATAGTACATGACAGAAAAGTTTTAAAACTCTGTACTGCCAACATGACATTGACTCAGAGTCGTGTCTGAATCCCTAATTCCAGCCTTCTGAACTTTTACCACTAAACTATACTTTTCTCTCTTATTTCATTTTTGAAACTTTTTCCTAAAAAAACTTTTGAGGAACTGGGTGGTCTCCTTCCTTCTGGATCCTATAATAGCTTTGGATGACTAAATGCACACAAAACATCTTGCTGGAAAACCTTAATAACGGTTTACAGGTTTGTTGTGGTTGTGAAGCCATCCTATCTCCCACAGAGTAGGTAGGCATACAGTAACTCAAGTAATGATTTCAGTATGATTTTAGCTGTCTGTATTATCATAGCCAGGAGGGAGGTTTGGGGCAGAAATACTTCAATTAATAACTGCATTCATTTCTTTTCTAATTGTGTTATTATTTATTCATTTATATACCACTTTTCTCAACCTTGGGAGAACTCAAAGTGGTTTCCAACATTCATTGCAAAATTAAATGTCTTACGAAACATGAAAACTTAACATAAAACAACAGTAACATAAAACTGTCAATTAAATCATATTAGCTTATTAAGGTACCATATCATTTGGGATGGAAGTAAAAATAAAGCATTCTAGTGACTTACCTTAACATGGCACAATGGGTTAAACCTTTGTGCTGGTAGGACTGCTGACTGACAGGTCTGTTGTTCAAATATGGAGAGAATGGGTTGAGCTCCCTCTGTCAGCTCCAGCTCCCCATGCGGGGACCGGAGAGAAGCCTCCCACAAGGATGGTAAAACATCAAAACATCTGGGTGTCCCCTGGGCAATGTCCTTGCAGATGGCCAATTCTCTCACACCAGAAGCGACTTGCAGTTTCTCAAGTCGTTCCTGACATGAAAGAAACAAAACTTCTGTGAACTATTGAACAAAACTTCTGTGAACTATCGATATGAATATTGACCTAATTGGATATTAGACCCTCTAAATGTCCCAGTTCAAGAGGGACAGTCCTCATTAATTCTTTGCTATCCCACTTTTCCAGCTGCTTTCAAAATGTCCCAGTTTCTTCTCACAGCCCTCCTTTGTCCCCAGCTTACTTCAATTGCTGCAAACTGTGTTCAAAGTGCAAAAGAACTTTGCACTGAGTTTAGTCAGCACAGGCAAAGAGGGTGTGCAATTCAACCCTTCCCAATAGACTGAGACAAAAGCAAACTTCTGTAGCTCCTCTTAGCTGGCGTGCTCTTCATCATTTGTTGCTTGTTCACACGTCTGGGTTTTTATCTATGAAATGTTGGTGGGCATGGGTTGTACTAATACAGACTGGATCTTTGCATGTGCCTTTTTATCAAGGTATTTCAGTGAAAATGTGTGACCATTTGGAAGAGCAAATAATTTCTCTCTGTTCTCTAATGTCCGTTATACCAACGTCAGTTGCAACCTTCTAGACATTCCTATGGCCACTCAAAAGGAACAATGCATTCCAAAGGCCACTTAGTCTCTTGGGCTTGAAGAAACCCCTCCTTTAATTCACCTCCCACTCGGATCTCCTCCTCTGTTACTAATTTCTGTCTGTGCAGAGGAATTCTTTCCCTGATGCTGCCTTGCTCCACTCCAAGGCTTGAGAAACTCTCAGACTGTTCAAGAGAGTCACATGAATCTTGCAGGGTTCAGAAGCAAAGCGAGAAACATTTGGAGTCTCCTGGGTGTGTTAAGGCTTAAGAGTATGGCTAAGATGTTTGTTATATTCCCAAGAGCCTCATCATAAATGACTGACATGCCTAATGGGATATTGTACAGTCTCAAAAAATTGGAAAATCTAAAACAGATAGGGTAAACATCACTCACGAGAGGGGTAACATCACTAACCTAAGTGTGCACCAAATAGATAAGAAGATGCATAGCCAAGTATGCTGGAAAACATTTGGTCTGCCTGAAGAGGCCCACTTTTCCCCCACTCCCCCTGGCCCTTGCACACGTTCTTGTTATTTTTAGTCTGGAGGACAAGAGATCAAAGGGATGTATTTGTGGCAGTCTTATTATTATTATTATTATTAATAACTAAAGATTGAACTGCAAAGACTCTGGCACAAACCGGTAAAGGTGGTCCCAGTGGTGATCGGCACACTGGGTGCAGTGCCTAAAACCTTGGCCTGCACTTAAACACAATTGGCGCTGACAAGATTACCGTCTTGTCCCTTCCACACAGCCACATAACCCAGAATATCAAGGCAGAAAATCCCACAATATCTGCTTTGAACTGGTTATCTGAGTTCACACTGCCATATAGGTAATTAAGTCCAGTTGTGTCTGACGCTGGGGGTTGGTCATCTCCATTTCTAAGCTGAGAGCCAATGTTGTAGACACCTCATGTCATGTGGCCAGCATGACTGCATGGAGTGCCATACCTTCCTACCTCTTAATCTACTCACATTTGCATGTTTTTGAACTGTTAGGTTGGCAGAAGCTAGGACTAACAGTGGGAGCTCACACCACTCCCCGGATTCGAACCTGCGACCTTTCGGTCAGCAAGTTCAGCAGCTCAGCACTTTAACCCACTGCATCACCAGGGGCTCCACATTGCCATATAACCCAGTTCAAAGCAGATATTGTGGGATTTTCTACCTTGATATCCTGGGTTATATAGCTGTGTGAAAGGGCCCGCATGTATCTTGGGCCTCTTCTACACTGCCATATAAAATCCAGATTATCTGATTTGAACTGGATTATATTGTAGTGTAGACTCATATTGCCCAGTTCAAAGCAGATAATGTGGATTGTCTGCTTTGATAATCTGTATTACATAGCAGTATAGAAGGAGCGTTGGAGTATTTAAAGCAGTATTGTAGAAATGATGGGATTTTGTTTCTTTGTTTGCTAGAGTAGGATTTTCAGTTACTTTGCCCTTCTAAAGATTTTGAACTATAGTTCTCAGCATTTCCTAACCATTGGATGTGTGAGCCTGGGTTAATAGGATTTGTCATCCAGTATATCTGGGCAGTGCCACTTTGGAGAAGGACTAGAAACTGCCTGCAAATTGTAGCACTTGAACTGCAGGAAAAGTACAAGAGGGAAAAGGTAATATATTTCAGGATATGTGTATCCAAGAAATGGAAATGCAGTTCACATTCTGTCCTTGGCAGTAAATATTTGTAGTTATTTTGGCCCTCTGAAACCCAGCTGTCCAGATTTCTTCTTTTGCCCATTTCTCTGCTGTAGGATGCCCACTGAAAGTTTATATAAAATGATATTATTTGTTTAGTGATTTGAGTAGTACCTTGCCCCATGTTTGTACATTTGCATATGCCTTTCTATGATGGCTTTGTCAGATGTTCCCCTCGCTGCTGCTGGATTACCTTCATATTTTGCAATTGGCAAGTCGAGCTGACGACTTGTTTTCCACCCGCAAAGGGACTTTTCATTCCTTTACTTCTCTCTAGTACTTCTGCCTGTACTTCTACTCTCACTTTCTTCAGGCTGGGAGACTTTTGGGACTTCCCTCTTTCCTCTCCATCCCACACACAACACTTACTGTCGCTGGAGAAAGAGCTGACCCTTTTCATAAGCTTATTGAATGCGTCCCCAAATTTTCACCATGTAAAAAACAATACCACCTCTCCTGGGCTTAGATTGGCCAAAGGGAGTCTGTAAACCATGGTGGAAATGCACCACAGAAAATGGATCCCTGCTGGACATTTTTGAGAATTTTGAAGCAAAAGGAAATAGTTGAGGGTTGCAAAAAATGTTTTTGACTTCTGGGTGGTCTAGGTAGTGCTCAAGTGTAGTGGAAATGACATCCAGAGCACCACCTTTGAGGGTGTTCTGGAGCAAAAAAGGATTTTGTGCATGTGGGAACAAATGCTTCCCCTACCT